GGATTAAATCAGTTATGCAGTCCGAATTTTTGGCAAGGAAGTAAAAAAAATGAAAAATTGCTGAAAATAGAAAGTAATAAATATTGTTTGACTTTTCTTCTTACTAAATTTGGTAAATAGTAAATCTTTATATATATATACAGATACAACTAAACTGAATGTTATGTTGAAATATATGATAATACTCTTGATTTGTTGCCATATTTAATGGATTTATGTATAGTTATTTTAGTATCATACGAAATCATACATATAAATTTGTACTGACAAAATGTATTTTCAACACATACTTCACTGCGTTCAGGAAAAAAAAATATGAACATATGCTTCACTGCAGAATACAATTTTTTTTTTAGAAAAATAAAATTTTATCTTTTATGTTATTTATTGCATAAACAAAAAGTAAGCATTATATATTTATTGTCAATTATTGATTTATTTGATAATATATTATGAAAAAAAATCTATACTTTTGAAGCATAATACATTATCGATTTATTAATGCGATTGAATCATTTTATGTCCAAATTGAATCAGTTTGTTATGAAAATATATTTTATGAAATCGAGTTAGTATAATACATTAACGATTGTATAACCCTATAAATACAATTATTGACATACGTTTAATGAAAAAAAATATAAAAATATATCTTTAATATATATATTGTTTCACTAAGATCAAGATTATTTATCATTACTGTTACTTATCACACATATTTTTACTTAATTTTACATGAAATTCATAAATTATTATGAATTTAGTATTTACTGAATTGATAGTATATCCTTAACTTATTTGTCTATATCAATTTAAAAAACATATGCTCAAAGAAATGGTGTTTGACATATAAAAAAGATATGCTCAAAAAATGTTGTCAGATATATTAGGATAAGATTTATACGCTTGAATGAAGATATATGACTTAATTCAAAAGTTATTAACAATCCAAAAAAAAAAAAAAGAAAAAGAAAATTGGGATCTGATTTTTTAGTATAAACCATTTTGCACTAAAAAGATATGCTCAAACAATTGATTTTGCACACGATTTGCAAGAAAATTGGGATTTGATTTTTATCTATAATCCAAATTGTTATCAAAATTGGCCACATACTAAAATTCCATAAATTTCTCTATAGAAGAGATTTTAATTGCGTGAATTATGGATGACTTTGCTCCGTTATAAAAAAAAAAATTAACAAATTGTGAAAACAAAAATAAAAATTTGGATTTTTAAACATGTTCCATAATTAGTAAATCAAACATTTGACTCATTTATTTTAACTTTCCACAAATAAATTTACCATCAACCTTTTTTAATATATATAGATGGATTAATACCTGAACCATTAGATTAGTAAGTATCCTATTAAAACGACTTTAATTATGATTTTACCCCGGAGCAATTATTTTGATAAACTTAAGTAGATATTGGATACAATACTTTTTTAATTAAAACGACTTTAATTATGATTTTTACATTCCCTAAGTAGATATTGGATACAATTATTTTGATAAACTTAAGGGGGTCGTCTCCCCCTTGGGGACGTGCCATGTCGTGGTTTGGGCATGGTGTTAAGTGAGCAAGGACCGGGTCGTCATTTCCTTAGTGGCGCGCTACATCGGCGCCCGGGTGTAGTGGAAAATGAGCAAGGGTCTTCGCATCTCTCTTGACGGGTGCGAAGGGCAAGGAAGCTAGTCGAACCAACTAGGGTCTGTATAGGTAGCTGGAACGTAGGGTCCCTATCGGGTAAACTACGTGAGCTAGTCGATGCAGCTACTAGGAGGCGTGTAAATATCCTATGCGTCCAGGAGACAAAATGGAAGGGACAGAAAGCGAAGGAGGTGGAGGATACTGGCTTCAAGCTTTGGTTCACTGGGGCTTCATCGAGTAGAAATGGTGTAGGCATCTTGATCGATAGGAGCCTTAAGGATGGAGTTGTCGATGTTAGAAGGCAAGGCGACCGGATTATCCTAGTCCGATTGGTAGTTGGAGATTTGACCATGAATGTGATCAGTGCCTATGCCCCTCAGGTAGGTCTTAGTGAGAGCACAAAGAGGCAATTCTGGGAGGACTTGGATGCCTTGGTTAGTACGGTGCCTGCCAGCGAGAAGCTCTTTGTAGGAGGGGACCTAAACGGCCATGTGGGTGCGACTAAGGTAGGTTTCGAGAGAGTGCACGGAGGGTTTGGGTATGGTAGTAGGGACGAAGAGGGGGAGGGTGCGTTGGACTTTGCGATGGCCTACGACTTGTTGATAGCGAACACCCTCTTTAGAAAGAGGGAATCTCACCTGGTGACCTTTCATAGTGGACGACACTCAAGTCAGATCGACTTTATCCTTGCAAGGAGGGAGGATAGAAGCGCTTGCGTCAATTGTAAGGTGATACCTAGGGAGTGTGTTGTCCCCAGCATAAGCTGGTGGTGGCGGATTTTCGATTCCGAACACGTGTCCACCGGAACAAATGTGCCAAGACCGTGAGAACGAAGTGGTGGAAGCTTAAAGGGGAAGCGGCGCAGACGTTTAGGGATAGGATGCTAGGTGAGGGGCTTTGGGAAGAAGTAGAAGATGCAGAGGACATGTGGTTAAAGATTGCAACATGTGTACGGAAGGTGGCTGCAGAAGTCCTTGGTGTGAGTAGGGGAGGCAAGCAGGAAGCGAAGGACTCTTGGTGGTGGAATGACGAGGTGCAAAAGGCTATTCAGGAGAAGAAGGAGTGTTTCAAGTGCCTCCATCTTGACAAGAGTGCAACCAACATTGAGAGCTATAAAATAGCGAGAAGGGATGCAAAGCGTGCCGTGAGTGTAGCGAAGGGTCAGGCCTATGATGACCTTTATCAGCGCCTAGGCACGAAGGAGGGGGAGAAGGATATTTATAGGATGGCTAAGATTCGGGAGAGGAAGACAAGGGACATCGACCAAATCAAATGCATTAAGGATGGGTTGGATCGGCCACTGGTGAAGGATGGGGAGATCAAGGACAGATGGCGAGAGTACATCGAAAAATTGTTTAATGGGGAGAGTGAGAGCGCTACCCTGGAGTTGGATGACTCATTTGAGGATACCAATAGACGCGTGGTGAGAAGAATTCGAGAGGCAGAAATCGGAGAGGCTATGAAGAGGATGAAGGGAGGTAAAGCAATGGGCCCTGATGGTATCCCCATTGAGGTGTGGAGATGCTTGGGCGCCAGAGCGTTAGCATGACTAACTAAACTTTTTAACCTCATTTTCCGGTCAAACAAGATGCCTGATGAATGGAGGAGAAGTACTTTAGTACCGATCTTCAAGAACAAGGGAGATGTTCAAAGCTGTGGTAACTACCGTGGGATTAAGTTGATGAGCCATACGATGAAGCTCTGGGAGAGGGTTATCGAGCATCGCCTACGACGAGTGACGAGTGTGACCCAAAACCAATTTGGGTTCATGCCTGGAAGGTCGACCATGGAGGCGATTTTCCTAATACGTCAGTTGACGGAAAGATATATGGACCAAAAGAAGGACTTGCACATGGTCTTTATCGACCTTGAGAAGGCTTATGACAGAGTACCAAGAAATGTCATGTGGTGGGCCTTAGAAAAGCACAAAGTCCCATCTAAGTACATTACCCTCATCAAGGATATGTACAAGGATGCGATGACGTGTGTCCGAACATGTGGGGGCGACACCAGCGACTTTCCAATTAAAATAGGACTACACTAGGGGTCAGCATTGAGCCCTTATCTATTTGTCTTGGTGATGGATGAGGTCACAAGGGACATACAAGGTGATATCTGCATGCTCTTTGCTGATGATGTTGTGCTAGTTGACGAGAGTAGAGCAGGGGTAAATAGGAAGTTAGAGCTGTGGAAGGATGCGTTAGAGTCGAAAGGCTTCAGACTTAGTAGGACGAAGACCGAGTACATGCCGTGCGCTTTCAGCATGGCTTCACATGATGATGGTGACGTTACCCTTGACGGGCAAGTGGTGGCCAAGAAGGAGACTTTCCGGTATTTGAGATTGATGCTACAAAAGGATGGCGGCATTGATGCTGATGTTAGGCATAGAATTGCAGCCGGTAGGTTGAAATGGCGTCAGGCGTCTGGCGTTCTCTGTGATAAGAGGGTGCAACAAAAGCTAAAAGGTAAGTTCTACAGGACGGCGATTCGCCAGGCGATGCTATACGGTACTGAATGTTGGCCTACAAAAAGGCAACATGTCCAACAACTAAGTGTAGCAGAGATGCGTATGTTGCGTTGGTTCTGCGGGCACACAAGAAAGGATAGAATCCGGAATGAGGATCTTCGAGATAGGGTCGGGGTGGCTCCAATTGAGGAGAAATTGGTTCAACATCGGCTGAGGTAGTTCGGACATGTCCAACAGAGGCCTCCTGATGCACCGGTGCGTAGGGGAGTTCTACAGTGGGTCGAGGATGTTAAGAGAGGTAGAGGTCGGCCTAAACTCACTTGGGAAGAGTCGGTTAAGAGAGACCTTAAAGATTGGAATATTTCCAGGATTTAGCGGTGGATATGAGCGTTTGGAGGCTCGCTATCAACGTGCCAGAACCGTGACTTTTGCTCCTTTCTCTCTCTCTCTCGTTTTTTTTTTCGATCTTCCTTTCGGTTCGAGTCTTTTTGTGTTTCTCTTGGGTTTCATCTCTAGCCTACCACGATTTGCTTGGGACTAAAGGCTATGTTGTTGTTGTTGTTGTTGTTGTTGTAACATAATTAAAATTTAAAAAATAATCGCTAATATATTTTTCAAGAACATGGTTTTGAATTGATCAGGGTGCTCTTTGCTAGGAAATGCTCATCTACCAACCGTTGACATATTAAAATGTGTCTAATCACGTATTAAGATCTTATTGTAAGGTATGTTATTCGTATGTTATTCTCCATCAACTATCTTGAGCCGACAGGTTAGAGAGATGGAAAACTCTCACTAGATCTTGCAATCTAGGACCTGCTTCCCTCTCGATCTGTTTTCTGTTCCCATTTTCCACTTCATTATCTTATCCTTTTTGATATGGCCAAAGGTAAAAGAAAAGCTAAGTACCGAAAGCTAGTTCTGGAAATTTCTGATGACCGCCCCTCTGCCGGAGAAGATAGTGACTCCGGCGAATCATTCGTAGGCCAAGGAATCAGTAAACTCAAAGAAGAGCTGGTAGAAGACAACCCTATGGAAGATAATTTCACTAAGCCCGCCGCCGAGAGCTCTAAGGTGCTTGGGCTAGCCGTGGCCAATCGTGAGCTTAGCAATAATAATAATATTGTTGATGACCTTGTTTACATGGGTTTTGATGTTGAGATGTTGGAGGGTGAAGAGGGCAATCAAAAGCTAGCAAAAAGTCAAGGCGAAAATAACACCCACAAGGTGTTTGATGAAATGCCCCAAAAGGAAAACGTTAAGGAAAACTTGGTAAAGTCACAAAAGGATGCCACTACACAAAAGAGGCCTTTCTCGGCCCTCTTTGCCGACAACCGCAAGCCCTCCCTTGGGCTCAAATTGGATTATGTCCCACCAAAGGAGGGAGGAGCTTTCCTTGAAGAAGATGACATTTCCGATCTCACCGAAACATGGGGCTTTTGCCTTGTTGGATATTTTACCCAAAGGCATCCGGGAAAAGAGGCTCTTTTAAAGCTTTGTAAGAAATGGAATGTGGACTTTGACATGGTCCCAAATGTCAACGGGTGGATTGTGTTCAAATTTAAGACCGAGGAGGATAGAGTCAAAGTGCTTCAAGGTGGACCGTACTCCATCTATGGGAGGGGGCTCATCCTAAAAAACCTCCCAAATTGGTTCCAATTTGGGGAAGATGACATCAAAGTGGTTCCCGCTTGGATCAACCTCCCGTTCTTGCCCGGGGAGTGTTGGAATGTGAAGGCCATAGCTAAAATTGCCTCTTGTGTCGGTAAGCCCATAACAACCGACAAACTAACGGCGACACGAGCAAGAAGAAACTACGCACGGGTTTTGGTGGAGTTGGACCTTTCAAAGGAGCGGACCCTTAGTGTTCCCGTCAAATCCAAGGAAGGATTATTGTTCGAGCAAAAGGTAGAGTACGAATACGTCCCCCACTATTGCTCCTTTTGCAAGTACATTGGCCACTCCCTCTCCAATTGTGGGAAACATGCGGCCCACCTAAAGGGTAAGGTAGCAACCGGGGAGTTGGAAAAGCATGACAACGGAGGACCATTGGAGAAAAAAGACAAGGTTAATGATAATGCCCCTGAGAAGAAGAAGACAAAAGTAATAAAAGAAAAGGAGACCAATGAGAGCACAAATGATGAAAATGCTTGCCCCTTGGTGACCGTTAGCTCTTCGGCCACCGGTTCCACCATGCCCGAAGGAGAAAACAAACCGGAGGAATCCACGGAGGAGGGGTTCCAAAGAGTAGAGAAGAGAAACAAAATCCACACAAGGAGTTGCTCGACAATCAACAATCCACAATTGGAGCAAACAATGAAGTCTATGGACAAACCGAGCACAAGGAAGAACCCGGGGAAAAGCGCGCATTCGAAGAAAGGGGGCAACCCCTCCTCTTCACAATGATTATCGCCTCTTGGAATATTAGGGGCTTTAACGGGCCCCTAAAACAAGATGAGGTTGTCAACCTCATCCGGAAGAATAATGTAGACATTTTGGGTCTATTGGAGACAAAAACCGACAATAGGCGCCTTTCTCTCTTCATGCATAAGAGATTGCCGGGTTGGGAGTTTTGTGAGAATTTTCATATTATTGATCGCGGTCGAATTGCCATCCTTTGGAACCCTGCGAGAGTGGACGTTATGGTGGAAAGCACCTTGCCTCAAGTCATCCTAACGAAAATCCATTGAAAGGTTAGTAATACCACTTTCTTTACTAGCTTTGTATATGGTCTCCATTCGAGGGGTGACCGAAAACTATTATGGAGTGACCTCAAAGCATCTCGGGGTCGAATTACATTACCTTGGTTGATTCTTGGGGACTTTAATGCTATACTTAAGCCGGAGGAAAGAATTAAAGGGGAGCGTGTTACTAACCGTGATACGATGGACCTAGTTGAAATGTGTGACTCATTGGGGCTTTCGGATATCCCCTCTAGTGGTTTCTTTCACACTTGGACCAATAGTCACGTTTGGTCAAAGCTACATAGAGCCATGATGGATCCTCAATGGGTGAACGCCGACTACTTCTCTCATGCCACCTTTCTTGCCCCGGGCATCTCCGATCACTCGCCTTGTCTTTTGAACATCTTCGAAGCCGGAGCCAATGGGGGATTCCCTTGGCGCTTCTTTAATATGTGGACCATGCATGAGAGCTTCTTGTCGTGTGTTACCGACTCTTGGAGCCATGTCGGTAGGGGATCGAGGCAATTCCGCCTCACTACTAATCTCAAAAACCTCAAGAACTCGCTCAAGGCACTCAATGAGAAATCCTTCTCACATATCTCTACTCGAGCCAATGAAGCCAAAGCCGCTCTCAAAGAAGCACAACAATTGCTACATGATCAACCGGACGATCTTGACATCAAGTCTAAGTTGGGGTCTCTTAGACTCAAAGCTCTCAACTTGGCCAAAGCGGAGAAATCTTTTTTCCAACAAAAGGCGAAATGCGACTTCCAAATTAAAGGAGACAAATGTACCAAGTTCTACCATAGCTTGGTCAAGAAGAGAGCAAAACGAAACTACATTGCATCGATCATGCGTGAGGATGGCACCACAACCGAGTCCATGGAGGATGTGACCAAGGAATTCATTCGTTACTATGAAGCTCTCTTGGGAACCGAGGTAGAAACGGAGGATATTGACCCTCAAATCCTTAGATCGGGGCCAACTCTTAGTCCCGAACATTGTTGCACCCTAATCGCCCCGGTTACCGAAGAGGAGATCAAGCTCACCCTTAGAAGCATCGAGGGGGGCAAGTCCCCGGGGCCGGACGGCTACACTTCTACCTTTTTTATAAAAAGTTGGGATATTGTAGGTGGGGATGTTGTGGCGGCAATTCAAGAATTCTTTCGCTCCGGATCAATCCTAAAGCAATGGAATCACACCGGTATCACGCTTGTCCCGAAGTCCTCCCATTCATCTCGAGTCACGGACTACCGGCCAATCGCGTGTTGCAATACGGTTTACAAGATTTGCTCAAAAATCCTTGCAAGAAGAATTAGTGAAGTTCTTGACTTTATTATTGATGAAGCCCAAGCCGCGTTTGTGAAGGGGAGGAATATGATGGACAATATCCACCTCATGCAACAATTGCTCCGGAAATATTTGAGGCAAAGTGTGTCTCCGAGATGCTTAATCAAGATTGACCTCTGCAAAGCATTTGACTCCGTCTCATGGGCCTTCTTGAGGCAAATGCTTGAGGGCTTAGACTTTCCACCGACTTTCATCATGTGGATCATGGAGTGCGTCACCACCCCTACGTATTCCCTATCTATCAACGGTTGCCTCAAAGGCCACTTCAAAGGTGCTCGCGGACTAAGGCAAGGTGACCCCCTCTCTCCTTTCCTTTTCGTTCTTTGCATGGAATACCTCTCTAGGCTCATTAATTGCAACACGGCGGATGACCCGAACTTCAAATTCCATCCAATGTGTGAGAAGCTAAAAATTTCTCACTTAGTCTTCGCCGATGACCTCATGCTCCTCTCTCGGGGTGATTCGGGATCAATCAAAGTGCTCATGGAATGCTTAAGAGACTTCGGGGAGAAATCGGGGCTTGAAATGAATGTGCTTAAGTCCAACATCTACTTGGCCGGCATGAAAAAACATGATCGTGAGACCATCCTTGATGATACTAGCATGCTAACCGGGCCTATGCCGTTCCGTTATCTTGGAGTCCCCCTCACCGCGGATCGGATTACCGGGAGGCTATTTGATGATATGATCAACCAAATTGAAAGCCACCTTAGTGGTGGAAGAGCCACTCTCTCTCCTATGCCGGTAGATTGGAACTAATTCGATCGGTCATTCAAGGCATTGCTTGCTTTTGGATGGGCATCTTCCACTTGCCGGGCATTGTCCGAACAAAAATCATTCAACTATGTAGAAGGTACTTATGGGGCTCCAAAAAAGCCCCCGTTGCATGGGATACTTTGTGTTTACCTCGAGCGGAGGGAGGATTGGGGCTTCGTAACTTGGATGCTTGGAACCGAGCCCTTCTCATGAGGACTCTTTGGAATATGCAAGCTAAGAAGGATACACTATGGTTCAAATGGATCCACAACATCTATTTGAAGGAGAAAACTATTTGGGATTGGCAAGTTTCCAAGAATAATTCCCCTCTCTTTAAATCCCTCTTTGAAATCCGGCAAAGCTTGATTGAAAAGGCAGGTAGCGAGCGCGGTGCGGAAGCCCTCCTCCATGCGTGGAGTTTACGCGACAAGCAAGACGGTACTAGCAAGTGTTACGATTTTCTCCGACCAAAGGGTATTGAGAAGCCATGGGTCGGGGTTGTTTGGGGGAGTTGCAATACCCCCAAACATTCCTTCATTTTATGGCTTGGTGTGATGAATAGGCTCCAAACAAAAGATCGCCTGGAGTTCCTAAATGAAGACCCGACATGCCCCCTTTGTGGTACCGCGAATGAATCCTCGAGCCACCTCTTCTTCGAGTGCCCCTTTAGCTCGGAGATATGGAGTGCAATTCGAGTTTGGGTTAGCCTCCGCCACATGCCAACAACTCTTAAAGGCGCCCTCAAATGGACCAAAATAGAAGGGAAAGGTACAACTTGGAGAGCCAAATTGAATAAAGCGGCGCTTGCGGCCACCGTCTACTTCATTTGGAATGCGCGAAACAGATTGATTTTTGAGGGCGAAACCCAACCTCCAAGCCTTGTGATTAGAAAGGTAAAGACCCACGTCTACCGATCTATTTTTGCTCTTTTTCCGAGTGTTCTTGCCGAATTTGAGAGAAGAAGCCTAGGTGTTGAAGTATAAAATCTTAATAATTTTTTAGGATGGTTGATGCCAAGTGCTTGAGCACTTGGAAGATCTTGATTGGAGGAGAACATTGTCCTCGTTATTTTTGTTCTTGCGAGTGAGGAACCGACATGTGGTTACCCACTACGCTCTTGAAAGCCGCCTCGGTTGTATGACTTTCAATTTTGATCAATACAAATTTATTTAACGATCAAAAAAAAAAACTATGCTCATTTATCCTATATAATCGATGTGGGACAACTTACAAATAATATTTCAACAACATTAAATGTCGAATTGATATTCCACAATTTCAAAATAATTAAAGGTACTCATTAGTGAAAATAATTAGGAAAATGAGGTTTAGACCGTTTGCACTACGTAGATGGTGTTATTTCCACCCATTTCGTAACCATTTTACTTGTGTAATCAAGTGAGCGAATGGCAATGCAGAAAATGACAAATGTATTATAAGTTTTAACGACTTTTGTGTAGATCAATTTTCCTTGTTGGATGGAACCTATA